TGAAACTGAGCAGCTTGGAGCACAATTTGCATAGAAATGTGATCATCGAAAAGCCTTTGAATGAGAGAATCAGTCGTAGTTCTACGTTACCTGCTATTTCGAACTTTGATTATAGAACTGGACTGTTTGGATATAGGTCATACCAATTAGTATTTTTTTGTTTTTTTTATTTAGTCGCTATTTAATCATTGTAATATAATCTTATTACAAATAATATATATATATTAAAATAAAATAAAAATAAAACTAGTTTATTATATTTCGAGCATGATTAAAATCTAATTTGTGCGTATTTCAAAAGCAAATATACATTTGAAGTATCAATAAATTATTTTAATCTTGTCATACAATTACTATAGTTAACGAACTTGTATTCACCCTATTTAGTAAGTACTTCCTCTCTTCCCGTTCTAACTACTCCAACCCTTTACCGTTTCTAACAAAGGATATAATCCTGGTAATAGGAAACATTGAATTCCACGTATAGTACTGTTTAAACATGTTTAGAAACACAACAGGAACGTTTCCAAAAGTAATAAAACTTTTTATTATTAAAATTAAATACAATAAGAGTAAAACAATCAGATCTAATTTCCTCATCAAAAAATATGTTCAATTATGTGGAAAATGGACATTCTCGAATATTTTTTTTAATGCAGTTCTTGTCAAAATTTTCTCGTGCGAATCCAATAATGATAATATTAACTATATGATGTCTATCTACTATTTAATATCTTATTTTCTTAAATAGTTTTTTGAATTTTTAGACGTTACAAACTTTTAATTTTGATACTGAAAAAGGACAGGATTTATAAGTCATATATATTATATTTCATTATCTTGATTAAACATTCGTTATTAAGGGCACAGATTTGAAAAAAATGTTTTATGTAACTGCCAGGTATGTTCAAAATATTTTCGTTTAAAAATAAAATTCTGCAATATATGATGCTCACGGTGCCGAGGAATGTTACCCATCCAGCATTCCCATCCAACGTTATGTAGTAGTTTGTCAAGAAGGATTGCTGCTTTTTGTCTTCATATGAGACACAACCCTCCCAACATCCCTATTAAATGTCAACGGTTGTTTGAAGAGTAAACTTCATACTGATGGAACCTCCTTTAAGGTCATATCTGCTGATAACCTTCATTTGTTATATCTGCCATCTTATCTTATTCGCTTTAGATAACATATTATTTGGATTATCTTCGAATGATTATCACTATCCCAATTATGAATCACGACAAATAAATTCATCAAAATAATTGCAAAGAAATATCAAAATATCGGATAGATTTTGTTTCGATTAATTACCGAAAAAAAAAGGAATCGTAAAAACTGATTAATTGTTTTTGTAATTCTTTTTCTTTTTTTTTTGTATGGGAAATTGAAAAAGGATTAAAAACAGAATAAAAAGATATTTAAATTAACTTTGAAATTTTTAACGTGTTAAATTGATATTAAATATTTTACAGGAATACAAATCTCTTGTTGTTTGTACTTTTTTTCGTAAAAAGAACAAGAAAATAGACGAGAAAACATGATGGGCCTTGTAAATCAACATAAACGTATCATTCTAACGAAAACTTTACATCATTGATTAATTAAAATTGAAATAAAATATAAAAAAAAGAACAAAAAATAATATACGATGTTAAAGTCACTTGTAATTACATATATAAATGTAAAAAATTAAGATAAATTGACTTGTTTCCACCTCATTTATTCACCTTTTATTACTTTTCTCTCACGTATAAGGTAAAGAATCGTTTTAGGTGCTCGGAGAACGATAATTTTTGTCATTTGTACGAACGACCACATTTATCTTTACTCGACAGAGTAAATAACAAAGAAAAAAATAGGATAAAAGCAAAAAACCATTAATAAGAATCAAAAAGGGGTAACAAGTGAAATGAACGTAACGAATATCCACCAATACGGTTTATTATCAACGGTGATTTTATTTTTGCACGAAAAAAAATGTTTAGCAAGAAAAAGTAATTTTTACATTTAGTTGAAAAAAAAATGTTTTAAAATTTTTTTTGAGTGATATATTAAAGGTTATACATGACGCGTTCTATATGCTAACATATATACATGAAAATAAAATAGGAGGCAGGCCTGGATATCGATTAAACTTTGCCGCAAAACTTCCGGCCACATTTTTTTTCCTATTTTTTTTCTTTTTTTTTTTTTAAGGCGATCAAGAAGTAGGCTAACTGAACCGCGATTTATCGGATGAAAAAACCAGACAAAACTCTGTACACGCTTGTTCGTTCGCTCGGAAAGTTACTTCAAAACGGATTATTCTCGATATAATACTGTAAAGTGAATTTTTAACAATAAGTCAACGAGAAGAATAATAGCTTTCGATTATATTATACAAAAACTTTCAAGTTGAATAATTTTAATTATTCGCAAAACCGTCGTTGTGAATTATTTCTTCCTCGATTTTTCGTTTTTATTTTTATATTTTTTTTCTTTAGTTAAACTTGTATATAGATACTAATATGTACATTTAACTTAACTAAAACATTTACCTTCATTATTTCTATTAATTATGTGTATGTGTGTTTACAGCATTCATTTACAATCTATCAAATAAAGATATTATTTTGAATATATATTATATTGAAAACGATGGAGTATTATCAGATTTTACTGCTCAAATAGTGTATAAACCTAATGGACGAACCCCTTAAAAATGTATAGAGTTTACAAAAAAAAAGAAAAAATCGGTTTTGACAAGAGACCCTTGTTTTGTTTACCCAAATATATAGCCATATTCTATTCTATCTATTGTATAAATATTAAATGATTTTTTGTTGTTGTTATTGTTGAACAACTCGTATTATATTACAGAATCGAAAAAGAAGAACACCTCACGTAGCAACGTGAACTCACGTAATACTATACTCTCTTCACCCCACTCCCCACCTCCTACATAGGAAGGCTTTTAATTAAGGAACGAATTCGATTGGAATCGTCTAGTGAAGCATGACAACGATCTGTACTTTCTATGCCTTCTCTGCGTTCTCTTCTATCTTTCCAATCCCCCCCCTCCTCCATCCCACCTCCTACCAACTATACATATGTGTCTTCTACATCCCTCAACCAGTCAATCTTTTTGGTATCGAGAACGTAGTTCCAGTTTTACGTCGTTCTTTTGATGGACGATGGGCGAACAACGCGCGTGCTCACTCGACCAGGTCAAATCGTCGAGAATGGATTTTAATTTAATTCCTCTCTAACACCCCCGAACCACCATCCCTCGAACCCACCCCCCGTCTACCTCATTTTCTCTCAACCTACCTCAATCTCACACTCTTTTCTTCATCCTACCTTACCTTTAATCCGGTTTCTCTTTATATTTCTTTCTATCTAATTATTTGTTTATCTATTTATCTATTTATCTATTTGCAGTGACGGATTAAGTGATCGCGTAAGGCCCCCGAAAGGGTCCCGAAATTTTAAAATGTTTTTTTTTCGTAAAGGTCTTACGAAAGTTAAGTTGTTCTTTTTTTTAATAAATTTATTCAATTTCAATGTCTAGCGTGGTATGAATTTTTAGATTACTTTTCTTTTTTGTTTGTTAATAAATTAATGGTAGTTTTGCACATTGAAACTTTTTTTGAGCTTTTTTTAAATCGAGTTTGTGGGCTATGATATTTTTATAGTTCAGGGGGGCCCTTCATTTTACTTGATTCGCTACTGTCTATCTATCTATCTATCTATCTATCTATCTATCTAACTAACTATCTAACTCCAACTTTCTTCGTCGTTCTACAAATACACGCTTCGACTGTCTATCATATGACCCTGAACAAATACGATTAACGCTGTACCTCTCCTCTTTCTCTCTGTCACGGCCATTATATCTACACCTATAGAGACACCTAGGAAGATTTTTCTTTTGTCATTTTTATACCATAAGACTGACGACAAAGAAGAAGGGAAATTGATCAAGGCTTGCTTTGCCTTCGTTACAAGACGTATCTTATCGTTTTTGTTTATTAAAAAAAAAAACCTTAAAAACTTAAGCATTTATTAACGTAAAATTGGTATCAATAATATTCTATTATAAATATATATACCACTTTTTTATTTATGTATGACAATAAATTAAATGAATATGATAATTGAAGTATCATTGAAATTTAATGACATCGCTTTGCGAATTATTAAATAAATTAAACTAACCCTTAAAGTGCACACTTGGTAAAAGTTAGTTAAAGTGCACTGTGGGTGTTTGACACCCCAACGTGTTTGAACGCGTTTCCTGAAGCCGCTATTTAATATTTAGACCTCGAAATTTTTTTAAAAGTAGTTTGATACATCTTTTTTTAAATAAAATAGGTTTTATATACCCATCTGAATTAACACTAGATGGCGACAAATAACCCATTTTTTCGAATTCAGTACCGTTTTCGAGGGATCAAAAATTTGTTGGGGTGTCAAACACCCCATGTGACCCCATAAATTTTAAAGGTTAACTTGAATAATGGCGATACGATCAGTTTTAATACATACGTTACCACGTATGATTATATGAATTTCGAATTTTAAAATGTTAAATCAGTGGTTCCCAAAGTGGACGATGAAGCAATTCAGGGGGGCGATGATGGCCACAACCGCATTTAGGAGGGTAGAGAAATTTGATGAATTTTCTTTTTTTTTGAGTTACTAAAAAAAAAAAAAAAATAAAAAAACANAAAAAAAAAAAAAAAATAGAAAAACAACAAAATTAATTTTCAGGGGGGCTATAAGTAATATTTTTTTCTGGAAAGGGGGCAAAGCAGTTTGGGAACCACTGTGTTAAATCATGTTTTGAGATTTCTATTATGTCACCGTTGTCCTGTGTACGTTTTTATTTTTATTTTTAAAATTCTTCATTACGTTTTCAATATTTTCCTTTATTGAACGATTTCTTCTTTAAATCATAAAAATAATATTTTTTGTCTTTTTTGATTTTTTTTCAATTAGTTTAAATGAAACTTACCGTCATTTCTGCGCACGAATGGTCAATGAATGTTAACTCGGACTCCTCGCCGGCCAACAACACGCTTACAGTTTTCTCACCGGACTCGTCATCTGAAAATTCAAGAGAAAATATTAATATTATATGTATATTAGATGTTATAGTCACGCGAGGACGAAAGGACAAGGACATATTGTCGAGTTAAAACCACGTAAACACTCTTGGGATGTATAAAAGATAACGGTAAAGATATGATTATGTTTTTGTGTTCAAATCACGAATTACATATACCGTTCGTATATTATTATATTGAAAATATTTGTCAATTTTTTTAAATATAAATAATAATCATTTTTATTTTTTTTAATTTAATAATCATCACGAGTAAAATATCTATTTTATCATTCGCGTGACAATTTGTGAAGAAAATTCGATGAGATAAAATGAAGATTAAGAAAAAATGAGAAAATAATTCTTGTAAATATTATTACTCACCGATAGAAGTATCATAAGCGTGTAAATATTCCGACGTCATAAATTGAGATACGAGGGAACTTTTTCCAACTGCTGGTGCACCCAACATCAAAACCCGATAAGGTGCAGGATCCTGTGATGCGCTACTCTCGCGTGAACTCGCAAGTGAACCTGCTGCCGAATTTCTTGCCGAGCCAGGATAAGAAGCCGTCAAATGTTCGGTACTGTATCGAAGAAGAAGACCAAAAAAAAAAAAAGTAAAACAAAAATGAGAGGACGACGATTTAGTTTAATTTTCTTTTTATATAAGATAAATGGATCAAAATATTATCCTCTTTTTTTTCTTTTTTTTGCTTTTGGCGTTCTAATAAGAGCTAAACGAGATATCTGGACTATTGTGTTTTTATTTATTTATTTTTTTTTTATATATATATATATTATACGTTTTTGTCTTTATGGTTTAGAGTTTATGCACACCTCTAATACTGCGCACAAGTATATGTATATATATTCTATTATGATATACGTAAATATACTATAAATAATATCGTGCGTGTAAAAAGATAATTAAAATAAGTGTGTAATATCATCGTAAAGTATTTTAATAGTAGATAAAAAAAAATATTTCGTCCAGTGGTCGTAAAAAAAATAAAAAGAAAAAAAAAAGACGTATGCATATCTCGTAGATAATAATTTAATATGAATTTAATAATAATAATAATAATAATAATAATAATAATAATAATAATAATAATAATAATAATAATAATAATAATAATAATAATANAATAATAATAATAATAATAATAATAATAATAATAATAATAATAATAATAATAATAATAATAATAATAATAAAAATAATAATAATAATGATAATAAGCAGAAGAATAAGAATAAGAAGAAGAAGAAGAAGAAGAAAAAGAAGAAGAGTAATAGTAATTACTGAAAAATGAGGGACGAGCGTACCTATAAGCAACCGGTTTGGAATCTCGTAAAATCTCCCTGAAACAGAAGGCGCGAGAATCTCTACGTGTTATGCAGAAAAGCAAGAATTGTATGGGATAATTAATTAATTGTAAGAAAACACAGACAAAGAGAGAGAGAAAAAGAGAGAGAGAGAGAGAGAGAGAGAGAAAGAGAGAAAGAGAGAAAGAGAAAGAGAGAGAAAAAATGGAGTAAAAGTAGAAATAGAGAGAAGTAAGAAAAGAAAGATGGAAAGAAAGTAAAAAAAAAAGGGAAAAAGATAAACAGAGAAAATAAATATAACAAGATATTAAAAGTGAGAAAAAATCGATTGTAGCGAGAAAATCGTGTATGAATGCGTATATCTATGTGTGATATGTGTACGTTAATCAGTGTGAGTGTGTCCCTTGTGATTTCTTCGAGACTCATTAGTAAATTGAGCGTCGTGTGTGTTTGACACACATGACTTATTGTAGACGGGGATTAGTGTTTTGAAAGAAATTTCAAGGAGAATGATTCAAAGAAAAATGAAAATAATGATTGCAACAAAAGTCGATTAAAAGTAGTGGAGATAAAGACGTCCATTTTTGTCAATAAAATGGTTTCTATATTGACAGGAAATTGAATGACGTTTATTTAGTTTTTAACGAAAGATACGATAAGAATACAAGAACGTGTGTAAGTGCCAATTGTATATATGTGCGTGTATATATTTATATATATAAAAGGTGTGCGCAATACCTGAATTGCTTTATTTGCTTCATATTAAACGTTGAAGCAAATTGCACGTAATTAATATCGTCGAAGAATATCAAACAATATTTCCTTTCTAGTGCGAATAATCGTATTAGCGTGCTCCTAGAAAACTAATTCAATTAATCGTACAAAAACTACGCGTATCATGCAATTTGTCGTTCACTTTCTATTACACCTACGCGTATATATGTGTGTGCGCGTAGTTACTCTACTTATAAACATGCATGCATTGTACATCATACGTGAGCAATCTATTCACGCTTCAATTCTCTCTCCTTCTCTCTTCGTTTCTTTCAACTGTCGTATTTCTCTCTCGACTCGTATTTTACACGAGCAAACATTCGTTACATGTACGTATGCGTACTTACATGCGCAGTTATATAAACAAATATATACATATACGTACGTATAAATTCCGTGTACAAATTCGTCGATTATTTTTATCATCTATGAGCTTGTTTAAAATTAATATATACATATTTTACTCGTTTAACTTATTTACATACGAATAATATATATTTATAAATACATAGTGTCGAATTAAAATTATTGGTTCACAGACTCAATTTTTCTATAACATACTGTATTGTAAATTTGTAAAAAAAAAAAAAAAAATAGAAAGACATACAATGTTCTATTTAATTTTTTTATTTAAGTAAATATATATTTTTTGAGTCTTTTTATTAAAGCACAATTAAACAAATTAAGCGTTTTCAGATAAAATTTTTTTTGTATATGGAACATTTATTTAATTCGCGTAACTTAATTTTTATATTTGAATTTTAGACCAGAGAGATGTAATTGAGAAAATAATTAAAAGAAATCATATTTTTTTATTTACAAATTTATAAAATTTGTTAGAAGAAAATTGATTCTGTTTAAATATTTTATATTTATTGTTAGTACTGTGTAACTATGTACTGATACGCAGGTATCAATAGTGTATAAATATATATCTGTGTATTTCCTTAATAAACAACATCTCGCGATGACAAAATTGTATCATTTCGTGTAAATAAACATTTCGTAACACGACTTTTACTCTTGACTTGTGCAATTTGATTAATTTGATTATTGATTAAAACATCACGACCACGACGATATTGATTTTAACAATAAAATCGGTGATATGTGACAATTCTATAGTTCGAAGTTTACTTTAAAAGCTCTCTCTCCTCTATCTGATAGTATTTAGATAAAATTATATGTATAATAGGATAAAAAAATATTGATATACGTAATTGGTGACAATTAACAAAATTATATTAAATTTATTAAACTACTGATTATTATCAATATGATTAACGTGAATTTCTATTACCTTATTTCGTTGAAGCTTCCTATAAAATATTAAAGTTTTGGTAACGTAGAAGGATAGTATAGGAATGTTTGTTATTTGTTTAACGATTAGACCGTAAACAGGATCGGATATCCGAAGAAAATCAAATTTCTAAACATCAACTCACTATTGTTTGTGTCTACTTCCAATTTAGGTACTCGAAAACAATATTCAAAGTTTCAAAACTAAACTATTCACTACATTTAATACATGTTTATTTAGAACATTTGTTTACTCTTATACAATATCACTTTGTTAATTAATAAAAATTATTCTAAGGTATGATGATTCAGTGATTATTTTTACATAGAATGACAAAAAGGTTTTTTTCACATTTAAAAATACGGATTTTAATAAAACTTTGCAAATATTGAGAGTACATTCTTGCTTATGCAAAGAACAATTTCGTTCTTTTTTTTTTTTATTAAAAAAATATACCTTTAATCCTTGTTAATCGATTTTTCGATATAACTAGTCAACCGTAAAGGACAAAAATTCTTTGAATATGTTGAAATTGCATCATATTTGAAAACCTATTAAACTGCGAACGACAAAAATTGGAAAAAAATGCGTACTTGTTAATAGTATACATTGTGCATATATGTATAATATATATGAAAATAACATGGGTCACGTATTATATATATACATCAATTTTTTTCCAATATATAGAACAATTAAAATAATTAGAATATGCATTTTGAACAAACGCAACGATGACGATACAAGGAAAGTATCTTTCAAAAATGGAAATTGAATTTCTACTATGTTTCTCATATCGTTTCGTCATTAACATTTTATTTCCATATAAGATACCTTTCCTTGTAAAAAATTATATTAACATATTACATAGGAAACTAACAAGTAAACGTTGTTTTGAAAATATATATAGATGATTTTCTTATAACATGATTAAAAAATTTTGGAAATTCCAGTTCAGCATACTATCTTTTTAAAACTATTATTAAAAAAAAAATTACTTAAAATAATATTTTAAAAATATTGTGTAATAGTTTATTTTCTTATTTATTATTTTAAATTTAAAAAAAAAATAACACACACACCACACATACACACAATTATTCAAACATTGTATTGGTTCCGATTAAATTCACGTTGACGATGAATTATTTAACAAATAAGAAAATCCAGTTTATGTATATATTGTACTTCGTTGAAAATACCTAATAGATGAGCAATAAAAAAAAAAGGACGAAATGTAGCTATTGACAAAACGATGGGAAGACAATGTTGATGCATGGTGGCCATGCTCTAGGGTCCAACGCGTGTGTCTACGTCACCACAACTCCACACGTAGATTCATGCGTTCGATCTAGAGAAAAGAGCCAAAAATATTGATAGACCACAAGCCTGAAGTATCTTGTCCCTTTAATGTGTCTCAGCAACGTCAGCCAGGAACATTCGTAAAACGTGTTCCAACTCGAATTTCTAAATCCTCAATTGTATTCGTTTCATCTTTCTTTTCATTGATCCTGAATGGTATATAACTACGTAAGCTCATGATTTTTATCCTGATCGATCATATATATCTATCAATGTCTATCGTTGGTTCCACTCAATTGTAACATTCTTTTTTTTTATCGTACGCTAATACCATCTTGACTAGTGAAAAATACGAAATAAGGCAGTATTACATACTTCAGCTAGGTAATATATGAATATATAAGAAACGAGTAATTAAGATATAATATTGATATTTGATACGTAGATTAGATCCCATAGAATTGAACAATTAGTATAATATTAGTTTTGAAAATACAGGAAAAGATAAGAACAAATAACTACAAGCATTGTTGTAGAAAGAAATGTTAACTTTAAAGTTTGATCGAATTATGATCCTTATGTACTAGACTATCTCGTGAATTCATATATAACCTCGTTATTTCTTAATACTAATTATTTTATAAATATATAATAAAATTCTTTTCCATATACTTTATTTTTTCACCCAAATAACGCTCTAGTCGTTCCATAAATTAATCGAATTATAAACTTTAATGGTATACAAACTATATATATATATAAAAAACTTTAAGTCTTAAGTTAGGTTAAAAAGTTTCTAGTTATGATCATTTTGTAAATAAAGGAAATGGATAATGAATATTTCTATGGTGTATATATATTCAGTCACACTACTAAATAACTTGTTGACGTTATATGAGCATGCGATTAAACTTAGACAAGAAGAAATAACGATAAACCGTATGGAGAATTTCGGAAGGTTGTGGAAACGTTTCAAAAAAAAAAAAAAAAAAATAAACATAAAATTGCTTACAATTAGATGAACAAAAATAGGATAAAGGTGAAAAAAGAAACATAAAAAACAAAACTCACCTCGAGTTGCTCGATGCGACGCTATTGTTCGAACGTGATCTTCGACTTTTTAAGGAATCCCCTCTATTCACAACACCTTTTCCGGTAATACTGAAATGCCTCAGCCTGTAATATTCTTCTTCGACTCCTGTATTCGGCATACTGGCCACTCTCGACCTTTGCTGCGGAAGACACAAGTAATTTGGCCGACCGGATGATCGGCTACCTGGAGTTTTCACTGACTGCGAACGACTGTGATGTGGACTTCCATATCTGTGTGTTAGTGGATTTTAAAAGAGAAAAGTATCGAAGCCAATAGGGGTAGATGAGGTAAATGGTTTTAGAGGTAGGCAAAATGGGGGTGATGATAGAGAGAGAGAGAGAGAAAAAAACAAACAAGGAAATTGCCTTTTAGAACAAAGAATCAAGATTTATGCTTAATATTCGATTTTATCTGGTTCAGTTTCTTTTTTCTTCTTTTCTTTTAAAATTCTCTTATTATTTTTTTTTTCTTTTTATATTAAGGGGATCAGGTAAAAGGAATCCCTCATTCTCTCTTTTTGACACCTGATCTTAACGAAAAGATTTATTATTTCATTGAAAAATTTGTCAACTTTAATTATTCAAAATATAACTTCTTTCTACTTTAAGGGAATTTTTCGTTAGAATAAAAATTGAATTTAATTAGAAATTTGATGTAAATGTTATTTAAAAATGCTGTGTATTCAATGTTTGTTCGAATAATTAAATAGTAGGATAATTTTTGAAGGTAATATAATAAATAAATTCTTTGCCAGTGATCCTAGAGACTTTAGTTCGTTTGATCGACACAGGGGCGTAAAATTATCGTACGCGGCAAGAAAATTATCGTACGCGTACGATAATTATCGTACGAATGGGATCGCTATCTTTGCACCCGATCTATAACGTGTTTCGTTTCAAGTATGGTATTATTTAATCATATATTAATAAGAAAGTATATAAAAAATATAAAATAATACCTGTTAAACATACTTAACTCGGTAATTGAAAGAAATGATTTTCCTATCGTAAATATCATAAACCGACGATTAATTAATTATCGAATAATTTTATAAGCGTTATAATATATTAATCATTGTGGTTTAACAAGAAAAGAAAATTAAAATCCAATAAAAGATATTTTAAAAAAAAAAGAATATACTATGTTCATTAAATTCCAATAATATAACAATTAAATCTAATCGATTTTGTTTAGTTACACCACGTAATCGTCGATAATTCATTTTCATTTTCGATACGTTGAAACGAAACATTCGTTTAATTAAAGAATACAAAATGTTTGAAAAAAAAAAAATATGAAGTAGAAATCAACGGAAGGAGATGAACAAAAAGGGGTAGGGGGGAGAAAACGTGTATATTATCAAAGAAAATAATGGAAAGAAAAGAAGAAAAAAGAAAATATAGAAAAGAGAGTAAGAGAAAGAGAGAAGAACAAAAAATTAGAAACGAATAGGAGTTAAAGAGAAAAATATAAAAGAAAAAAAGAGAAAAGAAAAGGAAAGAAGAGAGAGAGAAAAGAAAAAGTAAAAGGACTAACCTCATTTCGAAGTCGTGAATCTCCTGTAGGGTGAGGGTGTTCGCAACATCAAGCAATTGTCTCATATTTTCTTCTCGTCTTCTCGCATCCGCGTCCGGATGTAAAAGAATCGTAGCAGCTGGTGCATCCAACGAAAGGGACGGTTGTTGGACCACAATGGTCGCCTGAGTTGGTCTATTTTTTCCACCGGCGCTCCCTCCTTTTTATTTCGTTTCGATCGTTTTGCATCGATATTTCAAAAAAAAAAGTCAGTAAAAGAAAAGATTTTTCGTTAGAAATTTGTCTATATATTTGTATAATTGTGTGTTCACATATATATACTTAGTATATATATGTATATATATAGTATAATAAATATTAGGTTTAGCAATTAATTCTCACGTGTTTTATTATTAAATTTATTGCATGAAAATTTTGTCAAGCAATTTGTTACAGTTTTTTTAATAATTGATCCAAGTTATTGAAAATAATAAAAATTATTTCGATGAATAACAGATATATACGATTATTATTTTATAAATAAATATTAAATTTGTGTTTTTAAAAGGTATCGAATTTATTGCTATATCTAATATAATATATATATATATATATATATATATATATATATATATAAAGCGTGTCGCATGTGAGAATAAAAAGCTGTTTTCTCGTCGTAAAAAAGATTCACTGGTATTATTAGAGATTTTTCTCCCCTTGTTTTCTTCTCTTATAACTTTTCTTTTCTTTTCTTTATTTTTCTTTTTTATTTTAAGTTATCCTTCTCTCTTTTATTCGCATACTACCGTAAGCAGCTCTTTCAAACGAAAGTTACGAGAATGGTGAACGATAAGAGAGAAAAAGAGAGAAAGAGAGAAAGAGAGAGAGAGAGAGGGAGAACAAGTTCTCTTTGGATTTTCACGAGGTAGAATGAATCGTGGCGGAAGTCATTTTATCTCGCGTTTTTCTCCCGTTACCGGAGAATCTTCTTTTGCGAGAGATGGGAAGCAAAGATTCGTGTACTTCTAGCGGAACTGCCAAGCGCGAAATTCGAGAATCCCATAGTCGTCGAATGGCAGATTCGAATTTGTCCTTATATCGTTTAACATCTAACTCGTATTATTTATTTTCGTGTTTTCGTCTTCTTTCTTTTTTTTTTTTTTTTTGATTTTCTTTGTTAAACTCTGACGATAATTCATTTACCAATTTGTTTCTTTTCTTTTTTTTGTAGATCTATATACATAAATGTATATTATATTTAAAAGTATTACATGTATCATTATATGTATAAACGTAAGAAAGAAAATATTATTTTGTAAATAATTTTTTTGTAAGATAGATACATTCGAAATAATATATTTTAAAAATTATTATACATTAAGTTCAATTGGTATCGTTAAAGTATTACCGATAGAAAATAAAAGAATTAATTTCTAAAATAGCTACGTTTTTAACTTAAACGTTTCTCTTAGGGGAAAAAAAATTAATTTAGAAAAATATTCTATATCGTATATTTGAAATTAGTTAGTTAGATACTTTGGAATATATTTGTATAATACAATATACGCATAAGGATATTTGTATATATATCTAATGTATTAATAATGTAAAAACTTAATATTTTCAATACTATGTACATTTTTAAATCGTTTTTTTTTCGTGAATTATAAATGACATTTCGTTTTTCTTATTTCCTAATTCGGTATTTTTGTATTTTTATTTTTTTTTTTTCGTTTTTCTCTCGTTTCGCGCAACGACAATTCCGCCGTAACGTGTTGCGCATGGTGTGACATAAAAATTCTTATGAGAATACGTATTTTCTGAAATTGTTCTCGAGAATATTTTGCGCACGACGAAAAAAGAACAAAAATCATTGGAATAAAAAATAATTTAGTCAAATTTGTTTCAGTTTTTTTTTTGTGGTGGATAAAAAATCGTTATACTAGTACTTCAACTTGTCCATTTTGCACGAAACGATTTTAAATTAGGCCAAATTATACGGTATACTACATACTCATTCAATCATTTAAAATCTAATATTTTTTTTTTCTAAGTATATCCTAAAGAATTTAATTTAAACAAAGTATCTTTATATCTATTGTTGCGTTATTATCATGATTATTTTTTCACTTTATAATTTATTACATTATTTTTCACTTCGCAATTTATTATTGCATTTTTACAGATGTGCTTTTCAAAATTTACTCGATACAATCGTTTCATAATAACAATAATAATAATAATAATAATAATAATAATAAAAATAATATTTTGAAGTTTTGTTTGGTTACTAGCATAACTTGGTCTAATTGTCAATGTGTAGGTACTTTAATTTAAACAAAAAATAAAAATAAAAATGAAGATAAACGATATATTCTCGAGAAAATCGATTATCGGGAGAACGTTCTTGTGATTTTCTTTCGTTCGTCAGATTATTATTTCAAATTCCGAGAACTTTCTCCGCTTAATTGGATATCGATTAACATTTATTAGCACGTAGCTTAGTACTATCGCTAAAGTACGAAGCGTGTTATGTGTGTTCGTATGTGTATGTTTAGTATGAAGAAGGAGAAGAAGAAGAAGAAGAAGAAGTAGAAGAAGAAGAAGAAGAAAAAGAAGAAGAAGAAGAAGAAGAAGAAGAAGAAGAAGAGAAGAAGAAAAAGAAGAAGAAGAAGAAGAAGAGACTTGTAAGCATATTTTTATTCTTTTTCTTTTTTTTTTCTCAATTTTTTTTTTACGATCAACAATAGCGTAGCTATTAATATATACATATATACATCTATGTATATATATATATATATATATATATATATATATATATGTGCGACGACGACAGGCTTCTCGAGACGAAAATTGAATGTTACGTTTCTTTTTCACATAACGTATGAAACTACGCAAGCGAAAAGCTATAAAATAAGAAAAGAGAAAAAAATGATATCATACGAATACTTTATATGTCGTATATAAGTATACGTAGAGTACACATGTATGCAATATGATTCTAAAACACGACATGGAGAACGAAAATGAACGCATGGAAAATAATAAAACGTACGAATAAATAAAATGATAAAAAATAGCTGCACTCTCGATACTTTTTTTAGTCAAAGCCAATTCGGAAAATGTAAAAGACAAAATTCGTCTTAAGAACCATCATTATCATTTTGCTACGTTCCTGATTTTTTTTTTTTCACATTAAAAAGAAAAACACCAAAAGGCAGTGAGAGCGACAGTGCCAGTTTTCTTGTTTTTTTTTTTGTGAAATACAATTTTCGTGACTAATAAATATAAACGGATTACATTCAAGATACACGCTGCTAACGTAGACAACAACAACATAACAATGACAATAATAATAACAACAAATAAATAAGAAATAAAAAAAAAAAAAATAATAATAATAATAGAAATGATAACACGTGTAATAATAAAAATCATAATAATATTAACAAAATAATAATAATAATAATAATAATAATAATAATAATAATAATAATAATAATAATAATAATAATAATAATAATAATAATAATAATATACGTTTGTTGTGAGATTTAACACGCGTGCATATCAATGTTGAATCCACACTGCTATTCGCGATCAAAAAACCTGTCAATTAACTTAAAACATTTTTGAACACATTTATAATACATCGTAAAATAATTTTTGTAAGCTAGTAATTACCTCGGTCAGTTTTAATCAAGTAATACGCATATTTTTAAACGAGTATGATAGATATTGAATTAACACGTGTTACACAAATAGAAACATTCACACGATGATTATCATCATGAGGATAATGTATTTTGAAAATCTCATCTACGTGTAAATACCTTTTTTTATGAAATTGATAGATAAAACATTCCAATTAAATAGTATTATTCATACAAGGGTAATTATGATATTATTTAATTTGATTAAAAAAAAAAAAAATAGGAATTAAAAGATACGTGTCTTCAAATAAAAATAACATGATATGATAAAATAATAATAATAATAATAATAATAATAATAATAATAATAATAATAA